AAAAAAAAAAAAAAAAAAGAAAGTTACTCCTTAGTCTCCTCCTGCACTAAGGCTGGGTGTGGTGGCTCATACCTGTAATCATAGCACCCTGGGAGGCCACGGCAGTTGAATTGCCTGAACAAGAGCCAGGCTCACTCTCTAAAAATAACCAGGTTTGGGGGCATTGAAGCAAAAGAATCTCTTAAGCCCAGGAGTTTGAGGTTGCTATGAGCTATGACACCATAGCACTCTATAAGGGCAATATTGTTTGTTTAAATTTATGCTTCTAGCTTCCTAAGGTGGCCTGTATAATTTTCAGGAGTTTGTATTTCCTCCTGTGCTGCCTATGTAGTGGTGTTAGTCCATTTTGAAAAAGTAATTCATTTTTTAGTGACTGCTGTATGGAATATGTATACTGTGTTTCAGAGAAAAGCAGCAGCTACTTCAATAAGTAGGCTTATTAAAAATTTAAACAGGGCCAGGTGAGGTGGCTCACACCTATAATCCTAGCACTCTGGGAGGCCAAGGTGAGTAGATTGCTTGAGTGCATGATTTCAAGGCCAACCTGAGCAAAAGTGAGACCCCAAGTCTACTAAAAATAGAAAAACTGAGGTAAGAGGATCGTTTGAGCTTGAGTTAGAAGTTGGAGGTTGCTGTGAGCAATGACACCATGGTATTCTACTACTCAGGGCAACAGCTTGAGACTCTGTCTCCAAAAAAAAAAAAAGAAAATTAACTCATTATGCTCAGAATATTTTCTGGCATTCAGCCACTATTCCCTTAACCTTTTTTAATGATGCTATTAAAGGAATATTTATGGGAACTTGAAATATTTCACTTACTAATAGCAGAAATATTTTCATTGGTTTCTTTTAAAATCAGGGATGAGTGCCACCTCTCGAAAACGGAAAGAAGAATTAGCGGAAGCATTGAAAAAACTTATTTTATCTAAAGGCAAAACACCAGCTCTAAAATACCAGCTACTTTTTGAAGATATTCGGGGACAATCTGACATAGTAAGTGTTTGTATGTATTTTTTGTTTAATGGGGTTTTTCTCTTTTCCCTAAATATGGCTTGGGAGGGGGTTCTCACTTTTTTACCTTCTTTATTTAAGTCATAAACAAGAATGAAGAAGAATAAAAAGAATTTAAAAAAAAAAAGTTACCCCCTAACCCACCATCAAGAAATAGTCACGGCTCGGCACCTGTGGCTCAAGTGGCTAAGGCACCAGCCACATACACCTAAGGTGGTGGGTTCGAATCCAGCCC